ACCCAGATTTCGAAATACCTTTGAAGGAGCCAGAGATAGGAAGTCATTTTGGATTGAGATATTGTGCTGCATGGATGGGTTTGCTGGGATGACAAGTAGTTCAAATTAAGAGAGGTTGAGTTGGAGATGGTGGGATTTCATCCATTTTGATATGTCAGAGAGACAGTTTGATATACGTGCAGAGACAGTGTGGTCATCCAGTGGAAATGACAGATAGAGCTGGGTGTTGTCTGCATAGCAGTGGTAGGAGAAGCCATGTGATCAAATGATCTCACCCAGTAAGGTGGTGTATATGGCAAAGAGAAGAGGTCCTAGAACAGAGCCCTGGGGGACTCCTGTGGCAAGATGGTGCACGGTAGAGGATTGTCCAAGCCAAGATACACTGAATGATCGTCCTGTGAGGTATGATTCAAACCAGGCATGTGCTTTCTCTGTGATGCCCATGCTAGAGAGTGTGGACAAAAGGAAGCCATGGTTGACAGTGTCAAATGCAGCCGAAAAGTCGAGCAGGATAAGCACTGAGGATTTGGCAGTCGCTCTAGTTTCTTTTAAGGATTCCGTCACTGCTAACAGAGCAGTTTCAGTGGAGTGGCCCTTTTTGAACCCAGATTGGTAAGGGTCAAGCAGACAGTTTTGTGAGAGGTATTCTGTGATCTGCTTGAAAGCCACCCTTTCAATGATTTTGGACAGAAAAGGGCGGAGAGAGATAGATCAGTAGTTCTCCGCATGATCTGGAGGAAGAGATGGGTTTTTTAGCAGCGGTTTAACCTGAGCATGCTTGAGAGAGGTGGGAAATGTACCGGATGTCAGTGAAGCATTGATCACATGTGTGACTGCTGCAGCTACTGTAGGAGCAATAACTTGGAGCAGCTAAGTCGGAATGGGGTCGAGTGGGCATGTAGTAGGGTGGCTGCACGTGAGAAGCTTGGACACACAGTTCTCAGTGAGAGGGGGAAAAGAGAAAAATGATGCAGTAGGACTTGAGATGGTTGGGCTAGAAAGAGTTTGTGGTAGCGAATGTTCAGGAGTGGCCAGTTGAGTAAACTGTGTGCTTATAGCTGCCACTTTGTCAGTGAAGAATGAGGCAAAGGTGTCAGCTGATATATTGTTGGTAGGAGGTGGAAACAGAAGGTTGAGCAGAGTTTTGAAGGTCTTTTGTTGAAAGAGGTGGGACACAATCTTATTTACGTAAAAGCAGACGTAGAGGTGAGTCAGAGCTTAAAATCCCTCATCGCCTTGTCTGGGTTTTAGTTTTAGTTTCTACATCAAACTGCAGGATGGCAATTTTAGGTTAAAAATGGCAGTCTAAACACATATGCTACATTATATATTCAGAAAGTTGTACACATGAAATCATACCTGTTGTTCTTGTGAGACTACTGTCACATTGCTTTACTACCTGGCTGCCCTTCTGTGGAGGATTGACATATCAAACAACAAAGTAGGATGAGAGTGTTCCTCTCTGGGTTTTTCACAACAAAATGAAACGAACGCACAACTTAAGTTTGCGGCCATTTCCAGGTTAAGATTTTTCAGCCACATCCCTCTTGGTTCCTCATCTCCAGGAAGGCAGTATAAGCTGCACCGACGCTGGCAGCCACACTAAAGTGCATGTTAAACATCGCTCTTATACCCACAAATTTTAATTTCTCGGGTTGTTTGTACAACCGTGAACAGCACATCCCGAGCCACATGGTTACATTTTTCAAGGGTAAATAATTTTTCAAATCCTCTTGAAATGTTCAAAGAAACTGCTACTAGCAACAAAAGCTCATCAAGAAAACCAATGGGTATGTGGCATCTCACCAGATGTTGCTTACATCATCGTTTCTCCATAAAGAAAGGGAAAAATAAGGTGGATACTGCAACGCTTAATCATATCTAAAAAAAGACACGGCCCAACCTTCGTTTGCAGCTCACATCAAAACCAAATCATTTAGAATGAAGTGCACCAGGCTTTCTTTCACCAGCTATAGTGAACATGGTGGTGAAAATACAGCCTGAGAAGTCTTCACTTTTGCAGCTAGCTGAAGCTGTGCTCAGGCTCTGCACCTTCTCTTGACGTGTGGTCACAAGATATGAGTGGTGACTGACAGAATGAGACTGCTGACACATGCGGCCTGAGGTGTGATTCTTCCACGGGGTTGGTGGCCTCACTCTAGTGCATGTGAGAAAGGGAGCACATGCAGCAAAGAGAGAAAGCTTCAGTATTGAACTGTGGTGCTTCTACAGAGGCTGCTTCAAGCCACAGAGCAGATGCCTCGGGTGGTGACTAATGTTTCAAGAGAAAAAGTGGAAGGTGCTGGGAAAGATGGGGGCAGATTAGTTAATAATAATTTCCTTATGCTTAATAAAACCCCAGCTGGATCAGCTTTTTCCAAAATTCTGAAAGAATTTCTGATCCAACTGAGCTATAAAGACATTTTGGTAAAGTGTGGGAAATAGTGTCCTGGACCATTTCAAGTGACATAACAATAGCTTGAACTAGGCTTGGGCAGTATCCAAATTTTAATACCGTCTAGCTTCCTCCACATTTTACCAGGGTGTTCGGTATTACCGGGACTAATTTTAAAATGATGACATAAGCCTCATGTGGAATTACTAAACTGTTTGTTTGGACCTTCACCGTTCAGAAACTGAATAACAAACACTGCTGAAAACCCGCTTTGATGAGCTTGTGGCACCAACATACGGTTACTTTGGTGTTAGTCCTGACAACTGGGGAAGGCTGACAGTTCATTCTTCACCAGAAAAGTGTTGTTGTCTCTTAATAGCCGGCTCCAGACAGAAAGGTGATTTTTCAGCTAAGATTGGCTCCTCTGCTGTGCCAGTGGAGCGTCATCTTTTGTTTGCACAAATTACCTGATCAGTGTTTACAGGCTCTCCTTTTAAGTTTGCTTCGAACCACAAATACTCCCAAACTGCAGAAGTCGTTTTTCTTTTAGATGATAAGTCAGCTGGTGCACGAGCTGCCACTTTCTACTGGCGCACCGTCACGTGATGACATTGCATTCATAAATTTTATGGAAAGTCTCCAAAAGTTGGTCAAAACATTTTTAACTATTTAAGTAAAACAGAAAATTCAACCACGCTTCTGTTTTTTTTTTACAATAAATGACTTTTGTTTATCATTTTTATTAATATTTGCTTTTATTTTTTTAAACCTTGTTTCCTACGTGTGCTGTTTTTTTCGTGGCCAGTTGTTTACGGTAATACCGTAATACTGCTCAAGCCTAGCTTGAGCCATCTGTTAGCACTCAGAATATGTTTGTGATGACATGACACCTCTTTTTAGTCTTTCAAATGGGCGGTTGTAGCTGAGGACACATAAATTACCACCTCTGCTGTCAAACATTGACCTTTTCATACTGATGTGGGTATTTTGAGCAATCTCTAAATTTGAAACGATTCCACTCTGTCTCCGTTGTATAGCAGGGATGTTTTTTACTGCAGAGTTTAAAGCTAAACATTCTAGTCCAGAGGGACATATTTAGCATTAGCAGCATCAGGACTATTCCCTCCACCTAACATGGGGAAGTTGAAACTCACAGCTGATCAGACGGATGTTTTGTTCTACATCAATAGAAGATGAAGTGCATCCCTGCCATCCTGTGGGTTACCAACCGGCGGCTACAGCGCTCATTGGAAACAGATGTATGACCAGTTGGAGACCAATGTGTGGGAGGAAGAGGAATAAGAAAGGAGAAGAATGATGTGAGGGTATGAAGAGGCAGGGTCATAAACATTTTTCTTTCTGTGGGTGGAAGACGAAGCACCCACCAAAACAAAGCTCATGTTGGTCAGATTTTTAGATCTAGTACAGTCATTTTTCATCTGAATCTTTCATAAAAAGGTTTAGTTTGCATGTTGATATTCTTCTTTGTTGGTAACTAAATATCCTTGGTCCTCCTATAGTTCCCATGATTGCTTATTACAACAATCACCTCTCCAGATGCTCATTATTCCACGTACAAGTGAGATCCTTGCAGGCCTCAAGTGTCTTCTAGTGCTCAAAGACCTCCCCTGAACTGAGCAAATCTCTGTAAAATTGTGGAAAAGCCAAGAACAATTTGAACAATACCCCGATTACATATTCTCCCACAGCTTGCGGTGTTCCCATCTCCTCGGTCTCATAAAAACTTTATGCAGCCAATCTCTTAAAACCGAGACGAGAAGAGCCCATTTCACCAGCTGGAAGTTCAATTTCTCTCCAGAAGATTCCCATGAAACCCAAACACATCTTCTTGGCGAAAGGGAAAATCTTATTAAATCTTTCAGCAACGCTTCCATAAATAATTTGAAGGACGTAACCTAAGTCACTTTTCTGGTTTTCCTGGATAAAAACAGCACCATCCACTTCTTTATGACAGATAAAGTTAGCTCACCAATGCTACACTCTTGTCATTTTCCAGCCATTTTTCTCCATCATATTAAAAACTTTCCCAAGACCATCGCACTCTTGAACGACTGCGCTGACAACCCCCTTCTTCACACTTTATTACTGCTTTCATTTTGTCTGATATTTTGCCCAATATGTATTCCACAAGTAACTGTTACACTATCTGCAGAAGTGCAAGTGCATCACCAATTTTCTGCATGGTTTACATTTCTCTGCACTTTCTATTTTGATTGATTTATTCTATTTTTACATATTTTCAAATATATTTTATCTTATTTCATACCTAATTCTATACTTGGACTCAGTTTGAGCAGCTTGGTCATAACAACCCCAACCCTAACCCTAACCCATGTGGTCCTTACTGTGTATTGGACAACTCAGAAATCAGAAAGTATTTATCAGTTCAGTTTCAACATTGTCTTTTGCCAACTTTCACAAAACACAGATGGAGCACAGCACGACTGGAAAAAACACAAATAAAATTGCGTTCAGCTCATTAAAAACAATCCTTTTCACCAGTAAATCAATATGGCTTCTGGCAAATGCAACATGATTTCTGAAGATCTTCACTGAAAGAGAGAAAACTCAAAAGGCGACTCAC